CGCCCGACTATTACTACGAGACAAACGGATTTGTAATTACAACTTAGCCGCGGTTCGAATACTATTTTGTTCTGTGTGTGTGTGTGTGTGTGTGTGTGTGTGTGTGTGTGTAAAAATTAAAAATCCTTCGAGTCAGTTGAAAAAAAAAATGATAAAAATAAAAATCCTCTTGTAATTTTCATCAAAACAATTTATTTAAATCAGCTAAAGATAAAAAAATGTTTACTATGTTGATATCAAAAATAATGCTAAGAGCTGGTGCAAGACAACTTTGATTTTTTTTTTTAATGTAGCGAACGTAAGTTACTATTACTGATTGCGTATATGCAATAAAAATGTATTTGTCAAAAATCAAGGTGTCATTACAAATAATTTTATATTTGATAAAAGGATAAACTCGCGCGCGTTTGGCTCGATGGTTAAGGGTTGAGATTGATTTTAGAGCCAGCTGGAAGAGAAGAGTCTGCTGTTGAGAGGATAGGACATTCAATTACCGTTCGTGCGATCGCGAGATCGTCCAGAAGCGCGAAGATCGCGCGATAGGTCGACTCCAAGAGAAACGGCAATCCGGTTGCGGCCAAAGACCGGGTGTTCCGCTCCCTCACGGCACGCAGCATCCTCCTCTCGATGTTTCTCAACTGGGTCGACAGCAGCCCGATCTCGCTCTGTACTTAGAGAGAACAGAGAGAACAAAAAAGCATGTTGAGGAGGCAAGAGATAATTAATCGACGGCAACGGCGATGTTAACGAATCGGACGCCGCCAACGCCGTCATCGTTGTCGTCGTCACGACTGCGAGGGAAACTGTTCTTAAACCTTTCGATAGCGACGGAAGTGGACATGAGCTTCAAGAGAGAGAGAGAAAGAGACAGGAAGAAATATATAAGCAGAAGTAAGAAAGACAAATTTTGAGAATGCGCAATTTTGCATTAATCTCAAACAGAGAAAGTTTGTCAAATCTTCAATCTTTTCGATAAGATGAAATCAGGATGGTGAGGGATTAATAAAAATAAAAAAGAAAGATAACTTTGTGGAAAATAAATAAATTGGAACAGTATTTTCATCTTAGAATTAGATCAATCGAGTACGTATATAATTATACTTAGCGACGTAATACACGTCTACGTACGAGCATGAACATATTTATTCAAGCTATTCACATATCAAGATTAGGTGTGGTTTGCATTAAAGTCTCATTTAAATAAATTACCGCGATTTTGTCCGCCTCCTGACGGCTACGAAAGTGCGCCTCCATCTGGGACTGGACCAGCTGTATGTGGTTTTGCGCGATGGCGGTCGTAAAGTTTCCGGTGGCCTTGTCTTTGAGTCTATTCACCAGCTGTTGAACCACCAAGGCCATCGAGAGCCCGTCGTTCGATTGCACTCGATATCGATTGCTAGTTGCACCGGAAACGATTGTCACTACGCTACCAGTTTGCACGTGCTGCAAGCCGAGTGCGTTCCAATTTTGCCTTTGCACGTCTCCTGTAAACTCTAGAATTATTGTAAATTAAAATTTTTATTTTACGAACTTCTGAACTTTTGAAGAAGGCAATTAAATAAGAAAATCCGAATTATTTAAATTCAAGATTAAAGTCAAGGTTTAACCTTAAATGAATAGAACAAATTTTAATATTTTTTGAAATTTTGATTAAAAACTTTGAATTTAAAAAAAAACAATAAAAATAATGTATGGTTGAAAATTTTGAAATATTTGTATTAGAAATAATGAGACTAGAGAAAGAAAATTGATATTTTTTTTATGATTAATATTTTCGGCCCTGAGCGGTCGCACGGGAGGGAAGGAATTCACTTAACGAGTATTTTACCGACTTTAAATTATGAATCTACCAGGTGTGCGAGGCTTAAAGTCGAGAGGCTGATAAAAGGAAGAAAATGCGCCGTGATTGAAGAGGTCCGGGTAAGGTTCCTGGGGCCCGCGATGTCTGATTATCGTATTAGGTGGGCTGAGAGACCGCGCGTTTAAACCACGAAACGAGAGAGACTGGAAAGATTCCTTAATATTGCCGTTCGCAAACGAGACATCCTAATTCTCTAGCCACAATTTCCTGGCCCGTAATTTTCGAACAGCGGGGCGAATCACGAGGCAGTGGGAGTAAAAAAAGATCCGTGAGTTTTTAGGGAATTCCCTTTACGGCGGCGAGACCACCACAGGGCGGCAAGACAAAGCTACGGCCTATGTCGCATGTTTGTAAAACAACCGATTTTTCCACTAAATCAACATTTGTGGGAATTAATTTTCACATATTAAACTTTTCGAACTTTTTACACATATCGCTTGTATTTCTATCTATTGCATTAAAGAAGTAATCGTGATATCACAGTGATTTATGCATTCACATTTATTTTATTTAAAAAAATAATGATATTCTGTTTTTTTTGCGAGAAAAGGATTTTTTTACAAGTTCACAATTTTATCAATTATATTGTAATATTTTTTTATGAATTCATCAAAGTCTATAAATACATGATAAAATAATAAATATATTTTTGGAAAAAGCTATCTGAATCCTCATAAAATGCAACAGTTGTGACATCAACTTTTACACATTAAAATTTAGATTAGAACGAATTAGGAGAATTTTCAAGGAGTTTTATTATGCGAAACCGCAGAGAAAAATTCGTCGATGGTTTGAGGGAATAGTTTTATCGCGGTTGCAGCCCTGGTCGCGAGAGGCGGGAGAGGTCGGGGGAGGGCATTATAAACGACGTAGCCGATGGATTTACCGGGAAACAGCTGGCTAAAAGCGACGAGGGGCTCGCTACACTTGATGGTCGCCGTGAAGGTGGACGTGTTCTCGGGTGGGCAGGCCCTCAGCATCATCTTCAGGGGCAGTTGGGCCGTCTTCTGAAGTACGCGCAGGCTCCCACGATCCGCCATCTCGTAGCTCGCCGTGATTCTCACGTCTGACGACATCGCCGGCAGATCTGTCGTCGCGTAGATCATCGTGCGCAGAATGTGACGGTCACCTATGGCATTCACACGGTCGAATAGGACGAAGTGACGTACCAACGAATTAGCCGCGGCTAATTGACATTCCGGCAATTCCGCCGTTGCGCGACCGCGAAGAGATAGAGTCTGCCGTGTCATCGCGATATAAAATACAGAATTTTTTTCAACGGTACCGTTCTATCTTCTTTTTTTTTCCCCTCGCATTCTAACTTCGTTCCGAAACGGCAATCTCTCTTGCGCTCGGGAATATGATGTCGTAAATATGCAGCTTTACGTGACTCGCTTACAAAGATTGGTAATAACGTGGCAGTCCTTCTCGGCGACGAACGGCTTTGAGACGTCGACGCACACTTGAACGTCGCGAAGCGTCGTGTACGTGGATAATTCGATGGTGATTCTGCACATTAAGCTACGACCCTCGGTGTCGTCCTTAGAGTCGTCCTGATTTCCACGCGTACAGGGTTCCAGATCCGGGGACACGGTCACCGATATTATCAGCTCGGCATCCATGGTAACGTCACCAAAGTGATTGCCTTTTAATTTCAAATGTACGTGATAATTAACGTGTGTGTCTGCAGTAATTGTAAAACTTGCTTAATAAAACGACTTGAGTCGTCGGAAGATCGAGATGGACTTAGTCTTGCAGCTAATAATAATATTTATTATATTTATTATATTTAAGATTCAACTTACAGCTAATAATAATTGATTCATCGGTTTTATTCATACCGGAAGTCCTATTTTTTTCGCTAATTTGCGGAGCTCCATGAGTTCATCTTCGGCGGCCACGTAATCGTAACCGCGTCGATGAAGAGGAGGCGCGATGAATAACGACGGCTCCGAGCCCAAGTAGCAAGCCTCTAGCTGGCCATCTTCCGAGAGGACGACGATCACTCCGTCTAAGTGCTAAAAAAAGAAATATCAGACTTTAGATTACAGTCGTATCGTCGCAAAAGGAAAATCATCCCCAAATTGGTCAAAGAAACCGTGGAATTAAAAAAAAGAAAAAAAGAAAAAGAACCGACGGGAACGTAGAAATAGCCTGTACATCATAGTTATTATCCTGCAGATGCGCAAAAGCAATATGAGAGTTAAATTAAAGTTAAATTAAAGACCTGTCTGTAAAAGTGAATTGACCTTCAAAATTAAAAAAACTGAAGCGATCCGTCCTTGTACTTTGACCGTGGCGATATATATAACTAATTATAATTTTGTATAATTATATTTTTGTTTCTCGACATTTTAAAGAGGAATGCGGTAGATAGCTTTTTTGCATATAGAACTTTAAATCGGACGATTATGACAGATTCTTTTTTCATAGCGGCAAGCCGAAAGGCTATTTCTGCTTTTGTCGTGCATTGCGTAAGATAAGATAAGAATAATCGTATTCGTTGCTATTTTCATAATACACACTGGCGTCCGGTTGGTTTAGGCGCTTTCTAAGGCGTTTTTCTCGTGTCGGCGCTTACACGCGAAACAACTCCAGTTGCCGCGACGATAATTCGCGCTGATTAACAAAGCGGAGTTCTCGGTATTAAGCTAATTAACCAGCAATTCGCGCGCACTGTGTCCTCCGGAAAGACAACAATGGCAACCTTGCTGGCCTGCGTGCTAGCTGCGGCCAGCAGGACGATAAGATAAAACCAGGGTGATAATTGCCGGCTCCTCGTCCTTCCTTGCACTCTTGCGGTTTTTTTCCTTTCCCCGGTTGGTCTTTCATTGGCCGATGCCGATGCTAAAAGCTTTGAGCGCTTCTTTCGATCGTCATCGTGCCGCGAGTTCTTCGCCTTTATGTTTCGCTTTCTTTTTTTTTTCTTTTTTCTTTTTTCGCCGATTTCTTGCGATTTCGACAATTTCTAAACGAATTTCTAAAAACGAATGACGATTTATAAGATGATCAAACGTATTCTTGAGCAGTTCGATTATCATTTTATCACTGGCACTCGACCTATTCTCTGCGTACAGAAAAATATGAACTAATATCTTCCGCAAAGTTTTTAACGAGAAATTTGTAATTTCTATTTCTATATTCATCTCATCCGAGATATTCTTTCGCTTTGTAACGTTCGGGGAATTTCGTATAATAAAGTAAAATTTATTTTATGAGAAGACATTTTACAGGAAGTTTCATCATTGCAAAATCAAAAGTTCAAAAGGGTTTTTTACTTATCTAAGTGGCTTCTTTAAAAGTGTCGCGTAGAAATTACATTGAAGAGGCTTGCTGATAGCAAGGACAGGATAGTTTTAACGCAATATTGTCGGAGAAACAACGGCTGGTGGTGTCGATAGTGCGACACACGGAAGAGGAACACCGATATGGCGGAGGTCCCGGCTCGCTTCTTTGTCAAATGTCATCGGCTCTGATTGCGGACTATCGTGGCGAACGTAGATAAGCGCTCCATCGAGGTCTTCTTTTCTCTCTCTGTCTCTCTTTCGCTCCTCTAAAAGAAATTCTTTCGTATTTTCTGTATATCATTTTCCAATATGGTTATCCGGATAAGACAACCTTTGACAACCGATAATTTGTTTTATTTCTGTCTTTTCTCTCGTCGATGAAGATTAATACTTGCTTCGTCAGAGGGAATATATCGATCATCGTTAGACTGCTGTACCACGATTTCAGTGCGGAGACGAAATGGTAAAGTAAAA